GCATTGCTTCCTCGATTTTAGCAAGAAACATTCCACTAAAATTATAATTCTCATGTTCTAGAGTTTCTTTTGGTTGAGGAGTCATTGATTTCGGTGTAATTTCTTTAATCAGTGCTTCGATAACTGCCGCACAAGTAGGTGTACGTCCAAGGTAAACAAAAACTCGTTTTGCATGAAAAACAAATATTGGATTCCGTTTTTCTAAACCAACATCAATCAAGAATTTGACTATTGCGCGAATGTTACGAGCATGTTCTCCCATAACTAACTGCTGCCAAAGTTTCTCGATTTCTCTGACAAATATATCACCATACTTAACAGTTATGAAAAAAAGATTGGATATCATTATAAAAGTTGTCGGGTGCAATTCCCCTCTATCAGTAAAACGTAATTCGATGTTCCGAACCCATGGTGCTAAATAACGAAGCATTTCTTTCTTGCCTTTTTCTGGAATACTCTCAAATCTCATTGATGACTCTGATAACATATAATGTGTTTCTTCACGAATATCAGTATCATCGTTATTTATATTTGCAATACGTTTTTCTTCATCTCTTTTTCGAGCGTTTTGCGCAAGACGAGTTGATAACGCAAGTTGCGCTTGCTTATATATAGAAGATAGTTGACTGGTAATCCCGACTTTAAATTCATCAGTGCAACTCTCCTTATAAAATCTTGTTTCTATAATATTTAATAGTTTTAGAGCATTTTGACGGACTTCTAAATCAGCATCCCCAGTTTTAAACAATGCTAAAGCCAGCACATTAGAGGGTTGATTATCTTGAAAAGGGTAGCCTTTATTTTCAAAGAAAACTTCAGCTAATGCTAGAAAATACCCTTGGGTGCTCTTACTAGCTGGATTTCCCGAATAGCATAGTCGGATTGGAACTTCAAGAAAATTCGGAGTGTTTGAATTAGAAATTAACAAACCCTTAAGTGCTTTCCTATTATTTTATTTATTACGTCATTATGTTGATAAAAGATGAGATAAAATAAATTAAATGATCACTAGATTTTGAACTGACCGTGCAATTGGATGTAGCCTATCTTGCAGATCCTCAAACACCGACTGTATCCAAGGAAACACACTTTCAGCATCCAACAACTGCTTTTTTGTTCCAGAATCTTGTTTAGCAAGATTTCCACGCTATTATTAATAATAAAGTTATTATATATGCCGTAAATATTAGCATAGTACATGTATCCTAACAGGGTACCTACACATAACGAAGCCATAGCGCTTAGCGCAGCAAATTCTAACGCTTTTCTGTCACTTTCTAATTGTGTGGTTAAAGGTCTCCTTTCTTCAGAATCTCTGTATTGATCCATTATCGATGTCAACATACTTGTTTCTTTCGCTCGGTATTGAACACCCTTCTTGCCATGACCACACCATTCTTCAATCATTTTAAAAATTAAAGTTCGCATCTCTAGTGACATTTCATTGGACGTTTCATTGTTTTCGGATTTTAAAATGCAAAGTCCATCATAAAATTTTTCAACCACGCCACAAAAATACTGGCGAAGTTTCTGCCAATCCCAGTCATTGTTAACTTCAGGATCGCGAAGAAAAGTTATGGTCTCTTTAACAAACGTCATGATTAACGACGAAATATCAGAATCTTTTATTATTTCTATCTTAACAAGAAAGTGTGCTGTCAATTGATAAACATGCGCAAGCTCTACCCG